GCAGCCACTGTCAGGGACCGGGGGGGGGGGGGGTTGGGGGGGAGTCTATTTTCAAAAAAAGAACAAGTGGGGAGTGAGTCTTCAGCCTCTGATTTTTTTTAGCTCTTTCTGCTCATGTAAGTGCAGAGGTCGCCCTCATCCATTGACTGTGCAGTCCTGCATTTGTTGTTCGCAGGCAGCATGCCTCACTCTTCCCTCAATTTAGAAAAGTCAGAAAGGGGCACTGGGATGGGGTGATGCGTTCATAAATTCCCCAGGCAGTGCCCTTGAAGAATGGAGTCCATTTCGCTCCTTATAAAGGCATGTGCTCTTCTCCAATGAATAAGAAATGAAACTGATGTTCCTGTTTTCCCACTTGATTTGCAGCCTAGTCAGCGTTCACACGAAAGGATGCATTGTCTGAGGTTCTCTAAGTATTCGTGAAGCAGCAGTCTGGGAATGGGGCTCAGCGGTCTGAGAACCGGGCCCAGCAGCCTCCAAGTTGTCCGGTGGCTCCACACTTGGCACCTATCCCCTCCCATTCTGCTCCCAAGGGGCTGGGATCCTGCCAGCCCTCTGTCTGGAAGAGAAGGGAACCCGGGGCTGCTTTATATGTTTTATGGTGTCACTACCTTCTGCTCCCGGGCGACCTTTGTAAATTTCTACATTCTTAGCAACACAAGAGAGAGCAGACCTATCTGAAGGACCTGGAGTGCTGGGGAAGATGTTAAAGGTGCTGCTGAAGTTTGTTGATTATTTTCTCAACTGTTACCGTCTCTGGTTCCACACTGAAGTAAAAGACGGCTCACAGAATGTTCAGCTAATAGGAGATCCAACTGCAACCCACCGTCTGCCTAAATCCAATCATTTAGAAACACCTATTTTTCACTCTGGGCCACGGTATGGGAAATAATTCCAGACCACATTAGAATGTTTCAGCTTTACTTGGTGACTAGTTTGCATTCTATTGCTATGATAAAAACGTGACCAAAAGTAACTCTGATTAGAAAGGTTTGTTTGGCTCACTCATCCCAATCACAGTGCATCATGAAGGGGAGTCAGGGCAGAAACCCAAGGCAGAAGCTGATGCAGACGCTATGGAGGAATGCTAGTTACCGGCTTGCTCAGTTTGCTTTCTTACACACCACTGGACCCCAGTGGGCTGGACCCTCCCACATCAATCACTAAGCAAGAAAATGCCCTGCAGATTTGCCCACAGGCTATCTGGAGGAGAGCCTTAGTTGAGGAAGGAAGAGCAGCCTTGAGTATGGCTGGCATCATCCCATGGACTGCGGTCCACACTTACTGAGGTGAGTGAACACCAGCACTGATCCCCAATGTCTCCTGGCTGTAAATGCAGTGTGATCCACTGCTTCGGGCTCCTGCTGCCACACTCTCCCTGCCATGGTGACCTATAATCTCAAACCCTGAGCCCAAATAAAGCCTACCTTCCTTTCTTAAGTCGCTTTTGTGGGGTATTTTGTCACAGCAATGGGGAAAATAGCTAATATTTTAATATTTAGTGATAAAAGTGAAGAAAAGACTATTGTAGTACAGCAAATGAGTATATTGTAATCCCACATCCACTGTGTCCTACAGTGCCCTAAGATGAACCCATCTTTGATTTATATTTTTGATTAAACGTAGTGCATGAAGCCAAACTTATGAAGCCTTAATATAAGAGCCAAAGGAAAGCCAGGTGGTGGCGGCGCACGCCTTTAATCCCAGCACTCAGGGAGGCAGAGGCAGGTGGGTCTTTGTGAGTTCAAGGTCAGCCTGGCCTACAAAGTGAGTTCTAGGACAGCCAGAGCTACATAGAGAAAACTTGTTGTCTCCAAAAAAAAAAAAAAAAAAAAAAAAAAAAAAAAAAAAAGAAGAAGAAGAAAAGAAAAAGAGCCAAAGGAAAAATTCCAACATTTAGAGTACTATTCTCCCTGCTTTTTGTTTTATAGTACACTTTGTTTTGTTTCTGTATGAACCAACAAATAGTTTTGTTACTATATTTTTTAAAAAATAAAATGTCATCTTTATGCAGAAAAAATAATATATAGAATAAAATCATGAGGAGTCTGGCAAAATAGACTGGAAACACCAACTGTCGCACCCTGTTAATGCCTTATAATTACTGTCACCTTCCTTTATGGAACATTCACTAGGAGCAGACTGAGCATTGTGTTGCTTTGTTTGAAGTCATCTCCAAGACAGCTGCTGCTGGAGAGGTACGATTACCTTGTCTCTCACTGGGGGTCTAGGATCCCGGCAGCGATCATCTAAGGGACAGCAGCTTTTCCAATTCAAATCAAATCACAGCAAACATTTCTTAAGAAATTCATGTCTGTAAAAAAAAAAAAAAATACACAAAAGCTCTACTGAATCTGATGTTTCTTTTCCAGTGGCTCTTGTGAGGGGAGAAGTGTTGAATTCTTTTTAATGGCGCTACTGAGGTCTAACAGATGCATTAAAATCCTTTCTTGTTTGGTGCATACAACTGGATAATTGTAGAGTGAATGCTTCACTTCCCTGTCTTCTAGAGCAGACACCACTGCTAGACAATAGTTATTATTAATCAGTTGTTTAGAAACCACTACCTAGTCAGTTGTTAGAACCAAAGCTAAAGCCTTTAGAGGGAGTTTACATCCTAGGAAAAGATTTATTTCCTCTGACAAAAGGGCAATGTCACAGATGCTTCGGAAAGCATGAGTTGAGGAGTCCAGAAAGTTCCTTCCTCTCTGTCTCCTTCCCAGGCCTTTGGCAACCCTTGCCCTTCCTCTGCAACTGGAGGGTGACTGAGTCCTCCCACCCACCTTGCAACTCACAAACTTCCAATTGTATACTTCCTATGGCCCTCTTTTTAATTCACAAACACACATTGTCTCTCATCCAGTTCTGTGTGTTAATTTCTAGCTGGTGAACTCAAAATAAAAACAGATAGTTTACAGACCTACCTGTGAGGACATGGAAATGACAGTGGACTGTATTTTAGGGACTAACAAAAACTAGGCCTCAAATACTTCAGACCTTTCATAAGAAAGGATTTTAATAAAGCAAACATTTGAAAAAATAAATAAAAATAGGGATTTTTACGTGGCAAGTTAAGTGCATATGAATAAGACCTTCCCTGATTATATCTCTGACATAGCCATCAGCTGGTTGAGTACACAACCAGCTAATCTCACAAAAGCTGTCCCACAGACCTATTTTACAGTCATTTGGTTGTGTTGGATATTCTGTGTGAAAGCTACATTGAAATCAAAGTGTTTTCCCAGGCTCTTGGAGTGCCCGGGTCAAGAACGCTGACAATCTGCTGTCACAGAGAGAGCCTGTCAGCATTGCCCCTGTCACACGCCCAGTCGTCACTCCAACAAGAACAAGCAGGCAACCTGCTGCCTTGTGACAGTGCTGTGACTCAGGAGGGAGCCAAGTGCGATGAATGAAACCCCAGGAAAGGTCATTGTTTGCCAGAGGAAATATGGCATCGCCCGCAGCACATACATAATTCTGAATTAAAAAGTGGGTTACTGAAAACCCAAGGACAACACACTTCCTGGGGACCCCTCTCCTTTTTATGATGTCCCAGTTCTGAACTCTGCTCCAGCTTGAGGCCTTCAGTCAAAGGAGAGAGGAAATATGTCATTTGGGGTTATTAATGTTTAAGGTAGGGGAGTTGTTTTGTTTTTAAATGTTTTTTCCTCCCTTCCTTCCTTTCTTCCGTCCTTCTTTCCTTCCTTCTTTAATTCAGTTAAAGACAGGGCCTTATCATATAGCCCCAGCTGACCTCAAACTCACAGAGATTTTTCTGCCTCTGGTTCCTGAGTGCATATGCTGTAACACCCAGCTAAAGAAAGTGTTGCTGAGGATTTAATTTGGAGCTATGCGCATGGCATTCATCTAGTTCTTCAGAAGGGCCGCAGCAAACGATGTCATGAGGATCTCATAGGTGCCCTTAAGAGATATTAGGCTCAACAAATCTTTTTGTCAGAGGGTGTAGCTCAGTGGTATAGAGTGTTTTCCCAGCACTCCAAGTTAAATCTCTGACACACACAAACACACACACAAAACCCACAAAAATAAGCAAAACCTAAAAGCCCCTTTCAGGCACTATTTTCCCCAATCCCTTCCCCCACCCCCAGATGCAAGGAAATCTGGTCAGCTCCCTCCTCAAGTAACAGAATAAAGAAAGCACAGTAACGATTTTTAAACTCCACAGATAATTCCAAGACCTCAGGGTGACTAACAACACTGAAACAGTCCATGAATATTTTATAAGGTATAAGATAAAATAAATTCCCAATGGCTTTTAAATCCCAGTTTCTAAATAAATTGTTTTCAGCGAAAAAATTTAAAATATAGTCTAAAAGTCACATTTAAAATATGTCTATTTGCCCAGCAGTGGTAGTACATGTCTTTAATACCACCACATGGGAGGCAAAGGCAGGCATATCTCTGAATTCAAAGGCCAGCCTGGACTACAGAGCCAGTTCCAGGGCAGCCAGGGCTCCACAGAGAAACCCTGCCTCAGAAAACCAAAAGTAACTAACTAAACAAATGAAATATGTCTATTTTAAAAATATGCTTTTGATTTCTTTTGTGAATTGACCCCATGATTGATGTTTTTGTTCACGCTGGCAGATTATATTTGAAATGACTGAATCACTGCAAAAGCTGTAAAGTTAAATAGATTGTTTTCAATATTTGTAAAGACCTTAAAGACTTCATGAAATTAAAATAAAAATCTACACTCTGGAGGAAAAAAATTCTTTTTTGATGAATCTTTATCTGCATGCTGAAAAGACCACAAATGATTCTAAAAGCTACAAGTGATTCTGTGTAAGAATAATTGTGGAAGAATACTCACCATCAGGGCCAGGAACATGCTCAGGGAGTATAGGTTCTTACCTTGCAAGTTTAGCGACCCAAGCTCAATCCCTAAAATGCCTGTAAAGGTGGAAGAAGAGACTTGACACTAGGAAGTTATATACACACACACACACACACACACACACACACATTAATTTTTTAAAACTCACCTTCAATTTACATAAATTGTTCATCCATCCTTACAGAGTTGAGCAGTGGAAAGACCATATGTTAAGAGCCAAGAGGGCTTCATTCCAGTTCATGTCCTGTCTGGCTTGAAATGCTGCCCTGGGTGGGTAACAGGTACCTCATTGTTTCATTTCCTCCTCTGTAAAGAGACATGGGCTGGATGATGCTTCACCTCAACTTCTAAAATGTCATTATGGTTCTTACTTCAAACTCACCATTTATTGGGTCAAGGAAAGATACAACTACCTTTTAGATAAAACTACATTTTATATTAAAAACAAAATAAATATAAACCAGAGTCTACCCGTAGAAACATTCATGAAACTCAGGCCACCCAGTAGCTCCCTGGCACTAGTCACAGGCATCAGGAATTTTGTATAAACCTCTGGCAATAGTTGTCATCACTCTACTCTATAAGCCTGTATGCTGTAGGAAGTACCACATTCATTCTCAAGGCTACACTACAACTTGGATAGTAACAGCCACCTTGTGAGTCTCCTTTGTTGTTGGTATCTAAGTGTGAGTCACTGAATTGTCCTCCTACTGAGAAGAGCCATCCCTCCAGCGAGTCTTGAAATTTCACCACCGGAAATTACATGAGACCTGCACCTAATGAATGTTTAGAGTCAATAGGACTAACCCTCAAAGCAGGGTGCTTAGACCCATGAAGAAGCCAGCTCTTCCCAGTGCTGTCCCAAGCTCTAAGATGTAAATTGCACACCATAAAGTTGGCCTGCCTGTCTTTCTGGGCCATGAAAATTACTGGGAGGAAAAGTAAGGGAAAAATAACATTACACCCAACACACACACACACACACACACACACACACACACACACACAGCATGCGTGAGCCCCAATGTGTATAGATTTAGGGTCACTTGGAAGAATATTTACTACCTGTAGCCAAGATTTATAGAACACACAGAGAGAGCCAGACAGAGAGACTCAGAGAGACAAAGACACAGACACAGAGGGAGGCTTCTTTGGCCTAAGTGAATCAGGAAGCTGGTCTCCCCTTCTGAGGCAATGAGTCAGCCCTGGCCGGAGCCACACTCCTGACTAACTGGCTAGAAGCTGCAGAGCTCAGACTACTTCCAACACAGTGAACGAGCTGTTTCAGCAGAACTGACCTGAATGAACCACCAGCTTTAGGAGAAAGCAGAGGACAGTGACATCATAAAAATTTCAAAACTTGGAGACACGTTTCCTGTTTCTTTCTACACACTAGCTGAATGATGGGGAGTGTCCTGTATATGTTCTCTTATTAGTTGACGAATAAAACACTGTTGGCCAATAAGGCAGGAAGATAGAGGGAACCAGAAGGAGAATTCTGGTAAAGATAGGCAGACTGAGGCTGCCACCAGTTGTGATGCTGCTGAAGGACTAACACCATGCTGGGCACTCCCGGGTAGGCCACAACCTCGTGGCAATACATAGATTGATAGAAATGGGTTAATAATTAAGACAGTTAGCCAATTAGAAGCCCTAGTCACCGGCCAACAATTTCATAATTAATATAGCGTCTGTGTGTTTATTTGGGGCTGAAAGGCACTGCAGGACAAAGAACCTCTCATTACCCCTGAATAAACTGTCCAGTGGCTTTGGAAGCCCAGGATGTGTGATCTTAAGGACAGAGGAACAGGTTGGCACACTCTATTGTAAATGACTTTGGCAGGGCTTGAAAGCATGCAACATGATCACACCGGCTATTTTTTCAAGTTTCCATTTCCGGAGTCAAACTAAACACCAAATGCTTCAGGTGAATGGTCCCGCAGGGATCAAGCCGTTCTCACACTTTTTCTGTCTCTGAGGCAGTGAATCTGACTTTATCCGGGGACAGCACAGCGGAATTTTTGTCCTCAGGTCCCGGCTCACTTTGTAGGTGAGTAAGGCTTGAGTTCTAAGGCACTCATGCCACAACGCTAACTTCACCACAGCCTTCTTCTGTTGGTGAAACAAGCAAAACTACCATGCTGAAGAGACACAGAAAGACAGCAGCTTAGCCCTTCATCCCTGGCGCGACCCACTTAAAAAGAGGAAGGGCTTATTTGGCTTGTGTGTCAAGGGTTTCAGTCCCCAGAAGCCTGGCCTCTCTGCTTTTGGACCTGAAACAAACGGAAGAAGCAGAGAGAAGGAACCCGTTCACATAGCGACCGGGAAGCAAGAGCTAGAGAGAGAAGGGGTCACGGCAGAAAAGTGTTCTGCTGTGAAGGACAAGCCTGCACATTATAGAAGAACTATCAGCATATTCAGGATCTAGCTACCAGCTGTGAAAACCAAAAATGCCTCCAAACACTGCTGAATGTTTCCTGCAGAACAAAATCATTCCAATTTTAAGACTCACCCTTTCTAGTTCAAGCCTATCACAATGCTACAGACTCCTTTCCCAGCACCACAGCCTATGTACAGCAAGCTAGTTAGTGATGGGTATGACAGACACGGTCACACATGGGATTCCTTGAGGAACAGGCTCTGAGACTATGGTATGTCTACAAGAGATCGGGTGAGAGGCACAGGATTTTTGAGAAGAACAAGGGAAGGAGGATTGGGCAGAGTTGAACGGCAGTGCCAACTCACTGCAGAGAGAGAGGCCTCAGCCAGTTTCACAGGAGGATCTGGGGCTAGACGGCCCTTTAGAGTTTGGTTGACTGGAGACAACGGGGCCTTGCCCTGTTTCCTTCCCCATGCACTGGTATCTAGAAATGGGCAACACCCAAGGAAGGTGTATATATGTTCTCAAGCAAGGTGACATCCCATGAGGGCAATTCCTCGGAACATGAGAGCCACAAACACTGTAGTGTTGGCCTTCTATCTAACTGGCAATCTGGGTGGAGTCCAGGAGTCACAGAAATGAGCGTCATTGATTATATAACCATAGACTGTAAAACACATAAGTACATAGATGAAGGATGGAAAACAATATGAAAATAGCCATTGCACTGATAGTGCTGGGAAGGCAAGATGGCTCAGGACTTATCATATCCCGCTGATAAGCCAGGGACCTACATGGTAGACAATGAGAACTGAATTCTACAAACTGTCCTTTGACCTTCAGTGCATGCTGTGTGCACTGCCTCTTTGTAGTAAGTAAATAAATGTAATAAAAAAGTTTTTAAAAATCTAGCACTATAAATAACTTATTTTCCTCTTGTTTTCAAAGTCGGACATGATGGTTTACACCTGCAATCCTAGCATGTCAGAGGATGAGACAGAAGGACTGCTGGTTCAAGGCCAGTCTAGGCTACATAGTGAGGTCCTGTCTCCACAACGAAATGTTACTTATGTTTTCATCATCTTTCCTGCAATTACATGAAAAGTGCTACGACCTCAAGAAATGTAATTTATTGTTTCATAATACTTCATTACATATTCTCATGGCTGTTAGCAACTACAACCCTGTGTTATCTGGCCGGAAATACAGGAAACTCCCTTTTGTAGAAATGCTAGGCAGTTTAAGCACTTTAAACACACAATCTCTAGAACTCTCAGGTAAGTGCTTTATTAAGTCCATTTTAGAGGAGATTTGGTTTCGCCAAGTTCTATACAGTAGGTAAATGGCAGAACTAAGGTTTGAATCCATGACTCCCCATTCTAGCTCATACCAACACTGTTTGATAACCTATATCCATCTATTTCAAGTAGACTTCAGGTTCCTTCTCTAGATCACTAACGTACCTTCTGATTCAAGTTCTTAGGAAAAACAGTAGAAAAAGCTGCCAATGTTAAGACTATGCTATATGAGTTTTAAAATGCCTTTGGAGATCTACTTTAAAGATTTTTGGTATTTAAAAGCATTTAGATGCCAATGGAGATTAGAGGCCTTCAGCTCTCAACTCCAAATAGGATGCTTTTGGGGATACCTATTTGAAGAATGACTCCCTAGTCAATGCTTTATTCTTCCCAGAGACTTAAGGCTCAAGACAAAAATTGCTTTAGAGATAATTCCCTAGGCGCCAGGGGATTGTCTGGGGGAAAAGATAATTCAGCTCAAATTCATTAGCATTTTCCTCCATTCCTCCTCCTCTTTAGAAGGAGAAATATAGTTTATGGAGAAAGAACATACCCCCAGGAACTGGAGTGGGCTAGTGAACACAGAATCAAGCCCCAAAACCTAATTAGCATTTGGAAAGCTAATGATTTCACCAAAAGATGAATTTCTAGATTCAAATTTCTCAATCTTTTTTAAAAAAAAAAAGAATGTCTAATCTTAACCTCAAAGATACCTCTTTCATCCAAGAATGGTCGTGGCTTTTATAAGTCAAGCTCTTTGGAGCCTCTGTCACACAAAGTGTACATGCCAGGCATTAAGGCCTTCCAAGATGCACAAGTAAATCATCTCAAAAGATACTTTATTTGAAAAGGAAAGCATTTTCAAAGCATGAAAAATAACTCCTCTCTACACATTCACACAAATTCTGACCAAGTTCTTAGGTTCACAACCCAGTTGGTACAACAAGGCAGTGCTTGCTTTAGGAAAGCTGGTTGGTATTTCCATGTTCTGAAATTACAAGGCCGATCACAGAAAGGTAACCATCAGTAGAGTTATCTTTAAAAAACAAACAAACAAAACAAACAAACAAACAAACAAAAAACCTGCTTTCCCCCTGCCTGCCAGTCACTAGCTGGCTGGCTTCTTGGCACTGAGAGGATGTGTCTAAAGCTGAGATACCTCCTCCACTGGAGAAAAATTCCTATTAAAGTGATCAAACCTAGGGCTTTATATATGCCAGTCTGATATTCTACCAATGCACTTCTACTCCCAGGCCTAAGAATGCCCTCTTTTCTCTTTGGTGAATAACTTGCTGACAAAGTCTCAGATATCTTTGGCACCCAATCTCATACACTGGTTGCTTATTCAAACTGCAGATTTAAAAAAAAAAGTCACTTTTCAGAAGTAGGTCAAGAATTTAAAACTTAGAGCTGTGTATGTAGCTCAGTTAAATGAGAAATGGGAAAATGCTTGCCTGGCATGTGCAAGGCCCTGCGTTAGCTCTCCAGCACTGAATAAACTAAATGTGGTGGTGCTCTCCTGTGATCCCAGCAACTGGAAGTGAAAACAAAAGATCCAGAAGTTCAAGGTCATCCTCACATATATATCAAATGTGGGGCCAGCCTGGGCTAAGTGAGCCTCCCGTCTCAGAATCTAGAACAGTGGTTCTCAACTTTCCCAACGCTGCAACCCCTTAATACAGTCCCTCGTGTTGTGGTGACCCCCAAACACAAAATTATTTTTGTTGCTACTCCATAACTGTAATTTTGCTGCTATTACGAATCACAACATAAATGTCTGTGTTTTCCAATGGTCTTAGGTGACTCCGGTGAAAGGGTTGTTGGGTTGAGAACCACTGATCTAGATCTATAGTTCCCCCACTTAAAATTTATTCTGCTGGGGGTATTTATTCATTAATCGAAACCCAAATAACTTGACAGTTACACGAAAAGAAATAAACCAACATTCACAGGCCACATAGTACTATCAGCGATGGAATCGTACTATGTCCATTCAAATCTCAGTTCCTTCCAGCTCTGCTCTAAATATGTTATGTTAACACCTTCCCCTAATAAATCACATCCCCTTCCTTGTGGATAGAAACAAATGATGCATTTGAAACACAGGCTGACCGTACTTACTCTGTATCAGATTTAAAATTAGGACTTAAGAGAAAAAAAGAGCTAACACAGACAAGGCCTTCCCAACTTCAGCCAGCCTTGCTGGCATTGTGTACATTAAGAAGAAACTCCTTTAACAAGCACTGCTTTTGCCTGGTGTTGGTGGCTCACCCCTTTAATCCCAGCACTCTGGAGGCAGAGGCGGGTGGATCTCTGTGAGTTCAAGGCCAGCTTGGTCAACAGAGTGAGACAACCTCCAAAGCAATACAGAGAAACCCTGTCTTGAAAAACAAAAACAAAAACAAAAAAAAAAAAAAAAAAAAGCTGTGCACTGTTTTCTTTTTAACCATCATTGGAAGAAATAGACAAATTGAAACAAGAAAGCGAGTTTGATTCATCATTCATCCAGGATTAAGGAGTCCTTGTCTGATTAAATTGGGAGTTGTGAAAGGACCTCGTGCACATTTATTCTTTGACTTCAGGACATAACAGATCCAAATGAATTTCTACTGAGAAAGTACAACTAAAGGAGGTCATGGCACCCAGCTTGTCCCCAGAATGTCTCCGGAAACATGAGAGCAAATAAAGGAAACACTTAGTGAAGCAAGACAGACGACCTCCTGGGTGCTGAGGGTTTCTTTCCCCATCCTTCCTTCCATTTGAGTGATTGAGATGACTGTGCTGGAGTTTGGCTGCCAACAGAAATTCAACGACAGAAGTTTAATTTCCCGATGGGACACTCATTTTCATTTTTCAGTTTTTTATATTTCATGTTTGTTTCCAGGATGGGTTATCTTTTTCTCTTTTTTTCCTTTTTTTTTTTTTTTTTTTTTTTTTTTCAAGACAAGGTTTCTCTGTGTAGCTTTGAAGCCTGTCCTGGAACTCCCTTTGTAGACCAGGTTGGCCCCAAACTCACTGAGATCCACCTGCCTCTGCCTCTGGAGTGCTGGGATTAAAGGCGTTGGATATCTTTTTTAACTAGACCTGCCAGGCACATTTCCCAGTGCCTCGGGTGGCTTTTATCATTTTCTTACAAGTAGAATAAAGCCATCAAGTGCGCTTGTATTTTGTTTTGTTGAGCATACTTGGTTTCCCTCTCCCCAGAAAAAAAAAAGGACTAATTTTAGAGTGTTAAAACAATTTAAAGAAGCTGGATGTAGTGGTGCAAACCTTTAGTCCCAGCATTCAGAAGGCAGAAGCAAGTGGATCTCTGTGAGTTTGAGGCCAGCCTGATCTACAGAGGGAGTCCCAGGACAGCCAGGGCTACACAGAGAAACCCTTTCTTGAAACACAAAACAAAACCCATTCAAAGAAACTTACTTTTCCAATCTCTGAGATTTCACAGTTTAATGTCAAGAGAAACCTTTGGAAAGGGTCAAGTTAACATGTCATTGCAGATACAAGTCTGCAAAAAGACAAGAGGCCACAGTTCTGTTGATCCTATATCAAGAGCCATGGCTATTGTAAGAAAGAAAATATTCTAGAAACCAAGATGGGGCCTGGGCATGTTTTCTTGTTTTTGGTTTTTCAATGAGATGACCTAGTTCTATATTATGTAATACAACAAGAGACATGTCTTAAAAACAAAAAACAAAAAAACAATAAAACTACATCAATCTTAATTTTCACCTCACTTGGGACAGGCTTTACTATGCTAACAATACATAAATTTAGAAGGAAATACTGCAGCTGGAAAGAGCTGTGGGTTAATCAGGGTTATGTGATCTGCATGTATAAACTACAGCACTACCTGGGTGCATGCCATCCAAACACAGAATTAGCTCCAAGGAAGCCAAATCAAACCTAGGAAACATGTCAAGATGGTCTTTCAGGGCTGTTCTTAATACACAGTGTGCTCTACACCATTGGCAAAACAGTTTCACAACTACAGATTAGACAGCCCCGAAAGCAGGAACTCAGTCAGGTTTTCCTGTTTGGGGTTCTAATTTCCCCCTGCAACTTTTCAACTAAATTATAACTTTCAGATTGCAGCATTCACCTCACCAAATCTTCTTTCTGTTCTCAGTTCTGAGAAACAGCATTCCGATGTGGATGCTGGAAAAATACTGATCAAAACACTGTGAAAAGGTCAGGGCAAGAGACCAGTTAGCAAAGCTGAGCAGCTAGGAAGTGATTTTCTGCCCCGAGAGACTTTGGTCCTTTGGTCCGCTCCTTCTCCACTGAAGCGGTGTCTGCTTTTGTAGATCTTGCTCTTCCCTTTCATTTTACACAGAGGAGGGTTTGTTCTACCTTTAAAAGCACATCCTCTCCCTTCACCCCCTCAGCATCCTGAATGAGGATGCTGTGAAAACAAGAGATTGTTTTCTTCCTGACAAATCTAGAAGCTGTGGTTCTCAGGCTTCCTAACCCTGCAACCCTTTAACACAGTTCCTAGTGAATGTTGCGGTGACCCCACCACCACCACAAAATTATTTTCACTGCTACTTCAATACTCTAATTTTGCTACTGTTGTGAATCATAATGTAAATATCTGATATGCAGGAGATCTGGTATGCCACCCCTGCAAAAAGGCTGGTTAACCCCCAGGGGTCACGATCCACAGGTTGAGAACCATTCACCTAAAGCACGTCCAGTCCTTCCTTCTTGACTGAACTAAGCAATCCAACCTAAAACAAGGAAGGTCTGGATTTCTCCAGACCATAAAGAGAAAAGAGTTGATTTCTCTGCTCAGGGTTATTTTCAGGATGAGAAATGTTATGTCCTTTGGTATAGTCACAAATTATTTTCAGAGTATGTCCATGACGGTAAAAGACTAAGGAAACGGGGGTCCAAGCCTAGTCTGCAGAGCTCTTGGTGAAAGGCATGGCATTCTATACAGGGGTAGAAACGCCCTCAAGGGAAGTGGAGCACCCCCTACATTTTAAAATAAAAACATGGGTGCATTAACAGTTACAATGAAGATGACACTTTTTGGTGCCAGGATTCAATCCCAGAGGTCTGCCACTCGACCACTTGAGTCCAGCTCAGCCCATAAAGATTCATTAAACTTTCTTACACAGTTGCTGCAAGTCCCTCCCATAATAGATTCAGTTTACCACATTATCAAGCCAGTCACTGTGTCCCCCACACACACCTGAAATCCAGTTTCATTCCTACTGATTTCTTTTTAGAAAAGCATGGTCTTGACCATCAGGTTTTCATAATTATACATTCTGACCCTTTGACTTAAAAAAAGAAAGGAAGGAAGGAAGGAAGGAAGGAAAGTAAACTTCCGTACAAACTACACATCTATGAAAGAGACCTAAACAAGTAAAAGTAATGTCAGAATTTAATTTCAACCTCTTCAAATACAATGAAAGAGTCAACTTTCTAAGAACGCCCTAAGGATAAGGAGTCAATTTTTAGTGTTCGCCCCCCTCCACCACCCTTTTTCTTTTCCAAGATTAGGGCTTACCAGGAAATAGGTTTTTAAAAATAAAGTTTCATGGGGGGGGGGCGGAGGTAAGGGGAGGTGGCCTACATTCAGAAATGTCTTAGAATAGGCATAAAAAAACTAATAAATAATCATAAACCAAAATACATTAAAATAAAATTACAGTACATAAATTGCTCCTACAAGGTCCATTACGTTAGACGATCCTTTCAAAGGTTCATAAATAAAGTCGTCTTGACTCAAAATCGCTTCCTGCACGCTGATGAAGATTATGCAGAAAAGAACTGCAAGTCGGGTGATGTCCACAAACTACTCGAGCTGGCACGGGAGGGGGGAGACTGTTGTTTTGGATCCAAGTGAACACAATAGCAATGCATTTGTCCCACTTCCCGAAGTCCTCGAAACCTGGAAAGAAATGACACGAAATGAAATGGGTAGCTCAGAAGTCAAGACCCAGTTCCCTCCCTGCCAGTCCAAAGGATAGAGTGTCCAGAATGGAGACACACGGTCAAGTAGTACGAGGGTATGTGGCACTGACCAGGGGCGATCACGGTGGTGGGAAGGTGGTCCATTCATGGTGCCCAGCACCCTGGCCGAGTTCCTGTCCTTCCCTCCCCGCATAGCCTATACTAGCTCTAGCTTGCCCATCTTCTTGCCACCTTTCCAGAAACTTGCAAGGGTTTTCATTTTGCCTCGAGAACGCAACCAGTGAACAAGCTTTCTACAATTCCCAACAACCATGCTGACACGTTTCTAGGTGTCCCAAGTTGCCAGGACCTTACCTGGAGTGGGCCTGGGTGCCGCCCTCTTCAGGCAGAGTTGGAGGTGCTGCGGAG